GAAAATTAGTTCGTAAAAAGTGCACATTTTTACACATTTATAATGCGTTAAATTTTTGAATGAATATACAGTGTCGGCCAAGATTATTCATACAGCTAAAGAAAATAATGCAAACATGATATCTCTACAACGGATTAGGTCTTTTGAGCTGCCGTTTTCGTAAAAAAGGTAGAAAAGTGTTCATAGTATATTTGTAGAAAGTTTCAGTTTGATTCGCTATGAAATGATTGTTTTAGATAACAAAGAAGAAAAATCATGTGTTTCAATTTCGTTCAAAATTATTCATACAGTTCATACAATGACCCATGCAAATATTACGCTGTTAATAATTCTGGGCTTATCAATAACATCATTCTCAGGATCCGGAACTATTATTTTCTATGAACTGTACAAATAATTTTGAACGAAACTGAAACACATGATTTTTCTTCTTTGTTATCTAAAACAATCATTTTATAGCGAATCAAACTGAAACTTTCTACAAGTATACTATGAACACTTTTCTACCTTTTTTTAAGAAAACTACAACTCAAAAGGCCTAACCATTGTAGAGATATAATGTTTGCATTATTTTCTTTAGCTGTATGAATAATTTTGGCCGACACTGTATTGCACTGCTCAAAAAAAGAAGCCTGTGGGATATATGGTGTCCCACCATCCTCAAAGGATTAAAGATGTTCTTTAGAAAGAAGAAAAAAACAACATGCAGCGTTCTGTTAGTTTTGTAATTGCATTCTTTCTTTGTTGTTCTATGAAATCCTAAAAATTCTTCTGACGTGACAACAATCATAAACGTATGCAGTTTAATGCCTATTACTATTAAGAATTCATATTTTGATTGTATTTGAAGTACTTTTTAGCGATGTTTTTTTTTTAATTTCGATCAAATCCATTGATATATTTAGGAATACGCCTGCATCAAGAGAAAATATTGATCTACTAGATAATTAATATTAAATCACATTTTTGTAGATTACTTATACCAAGATGAATGAATGGATGGAAAGAATTTCATTTATATTTCAAAGACGATTACGATTTCGATATATTAAAATGATGACAATTATTACTATTGGTTTTATTCTTTATTTTACAGTTATATACACATTAGTCAAATTAATTATGTATCCTATTAAACCCAGTGAGACTAAATTTATAAGTATGACAACGGCTAAGCTTTAAATAAATTTCTGTTTTAAACAACATGAATGAAAAATGTTTGTTAACAAATAGAGATATTTATTTATTTTTTTTTTTTTGTTTAGTTAAAGTATATATTTAATTAAGATATCACAGTAGAACAATCATTTCTTTTTAAAATAAGAAAAGTTACTGTTTTTCCTTGTCGTCCACCAAATGACATTGTTGGTGTTTCAATTTCACGTTCTAATGAAAATTCTAAAAATAGAAAATTTTATTTTTGTTTTTTATCAACAGAAAAACAAAAGAAAATTTACTCGGCTGAAAAAATTCTAATAATTCATTTCGTGTCCAATTACACGAAATAAGAAATAAGAAATTTCTGATATGTCGATGAACTGTATCTACATAGCCTTCACGCTTTGTTTTTCGTTGATCAGATGAACATAAAAGTATAGCATCTAATGTACCTTTATCAATACCAATATCAAAATGATCAAGTGATGATGTATCAGGTGCAGTCATATCAACGACTTGAAATTTAATATTCGATCCAATTTGTGTACGAGCTAATTCAATAGACTTTTCAGAATAATCAATACCAGTTAAATGAACGAAACCACGACGTAGTAAACGTTGAATAACATGACCATTCCCTAATTGAATATTTATTTTAAATAAAAAGGAAAAACAAGCATGATCTCTATAAACCTGTGCCAATATCTAAAATAGTTGTTGTTTCTTTATCAGGTACTAACTGACATACAGTATCGATAAGTTTGGTCAAAATACTTTTACCAAACCTGGAAAGATTTTATCGAAAGAATTTGTTTAAAATTTCAAATTAACATACCAAATTTCGCCTTCATCACCAAATTCATTAAAATTATTTAATTCTCCTTCATATAAGGTATCCCAACTGGATGATATATATATATATATAATAATGCATTTAAAAATTAATTTAGATTTCATTACTCACTATTCTTTTGTTCCAATTACCGATTCATCTTCTTCTTCACTCGACATTAAATTAATTCTAATCTTCAATAGAAATAAGAAAAAAAAGACAAGAACACTGATACTAAAATTCATATATTTCTAATCAACAAAAAAAAAAAATGTTTATTCCCATTTTTTATGCCAAGATACACGATCTAACAAATCACGTCTTAAATAAATATGTTCGGGTATTTCTTCTTGTCGTCGTTTTAATGCTAAAGCTTTTTCTTCACGTTCTTTACGTATTGGATCTTGTTCATAAAGATTATCTTCTTCCTAAAAATAAAATCATTGTTATTAAATGAACCAAATATTTTTCTTAACTTACTTCCGTCAGATATGGTCGACTCAGATAAGCCATATTTTCTAATTCGATTTCAATACGTTGTTGCATATCACGTTTCTCACCTTGACTTAATGTACGCCGGACTCGATGTTTTCTTTTAGAAATAATGTCACATTCGATTTTAGAGAATTTACAAAAAAAGACAAACCTACCCGAGCAATACATTTCCCGGAATACGTCGTGTTGGTATATAATTACTAAATCGAAATTGTGAAACTTGTTTAAGTAAAGCAATTGATAATCGCATCTTTAAAAACAAATAAAAATGAAATTTTTGGTTCTTTTTTCTTGTACTTTCAAATGAATATTTTTCTTCGTTTTATTTTCAAAATCAAAAAAAAGACGAGCCTCATTAGTCTTCCTTCGATGTTATTTTAGTGTTATTGTCTTTATTTAGTCGTTGTCTGTCCTCTCGATGTCCATATTGATGAATTGATCGTGTTCGTCGATGATAATTTGTTGATAAAAATGTTTTTAAACTTTGATATTTTTCTTTTAATAATGTTGGTGGAGGTTTTTCACGTAATTTTTCACGTAAAACACTTAATGTTGTTAATATATTGCCCAAAAAAAGCAGAAAAAATATTATTGCTAATACCATTACTTGCCATTCATGTGTACTTGATACATGTGCTAATTCCCATAATGTATATGCATTATATAATTGAAATAAATAGCCGACAAGAAGAAATGGAACCAAAAATGATAGACCACCTTGAAAGAAACAAATCAGTATATCTCAAATTAATTCTTTTATTATTTATAGCAGCTAGCTGTAGACAAATATTCTCGATCATTGGAAAATTTTCTGTAGTTGTCAAGTTATTAAGAATTAGAGCATATGTTGTTTCTACCTAAGATTCAAAATACTTGTGAAAATTCTAACTTGAGATGCTGGCATTGATCTCTGAAAGTACAGAAACTAAAGATGAAACAAATCATATTAGTTTGATAATACTGCTCAATATGTCGACAGAAAGAGTAGATCTTTATCTACAAAATAGTGTATAGATTATTAGTTTTGTATGGGCTATTAACCAACAATAAATTCTTACATAGAAGATATTACGGAGTTGCAACAAATCTAATTGATTTGTATGAAAAAAAAAACATATTTGCAAAGTGAATTGAGTCATCTATCGATTTGGTTTTTTTTAGTCATTGTTATTTCTTATCTCATTAGAAAGAATGGTCTCACTATTTATTGTATGAAAACTAGGTGAGATAGCTGATTTAACTCTTCGCTAACGGACTTTTCACAAAGATGACCAAAAAAAAGGGAGCTTATCTATACAAGCCTGAAATCAAGTTGACATGTCAAAGGAAAACAGCAAATTACGTTACATATTGATTAACGTCATAGAATTCAGTACTTGCAAAAAAGAGTTATCCAAAAGTTTAGGAAATTCTTCGTATATTTCAATAAATCATCTTGTAGTTTCATATTATAAAATAGACATAATAAAAATCGAGTGTCTGATCTTTACGAAGATTAAAGCTTCAACGGTAATTGCACCTTTCTCGAACGATAATGATTCAAGAATTTTAATTGCCGTCTAGCATCACAAAACTTTGAATTATTGTGTACATAGAGAGTCTATCGATTCTCATACGTTTCTAAATTCACAATTCCTTTATTTTTACTTGATATACATGTGCAGTGATATTATATAATGTTGCTGTGCTGCTAAAAGCATAAGAGGGTGAGAAGATTATAAAAGTTATCATCTAGTTAAAAGCTTAGCCCGTATATACAAGGATTCCGTAATCAAATGGTTAATAGAACAAATTCATGTAATAAAAAATCTCATGTCTATATTCTAATTAAGACTATAATGATGAAATTGAGTTATCAGTTACTATTTCACTAGTTTCCTATAAACTATTACTAACTAATGTCTACGCCAAAATGAAAGAGGAACAAATGCAAGCTCAATAATTGGACAATGGCAACAGATAGCGGCTTGTGATGTTCAGTTATTGAAAGAGGAAAGACTCTAGATGTCTTTCGTTTGATAAGATATAAAATAAAATTATTTTAAAACTCATCATTTTCGCAAACAATTCAAAAACATGCATGAGAATAGAGTTCCATTTCAAGAATATTTTGATAAACAGTAGGACAGTTTGTTAAAACTCAACAGAATTTCATTGAATGTCTACACGATTTTATTCGCTCAATATTGGAATGTGAGAAGGTAATCATCTGCATCACTTCAAATCGCATATAGCAAAATTTGAATAGATTTGATTTTTATACTGAACAAGAACCTTCTTTGACTTACGAAACATCCATCGATGAAAACCTTCGATAGTTATTTCCATATCATGTGTTTCACCCAATGCTCGCAATCGATATAGACAACCACGTTGATAATAAAACTGAAGAACCTAATAAGAAGCAAAACTCAAATAGATCTTTCTTTTTCAAATTCATAGTAAAATTTATTTACTTGAACAAAACTTAAGTAAAACGAAAAGACAAAGAATTGCGTACGAAAAGTATGATAAGATGCAGACTCTGGCCATGTTAATAAAATAGCTGTAGCAACTGTTGATACAAAATGATGAGCTCGCCACCAAGCTAAAAGAAAAATATACATAAGTAAGTGAAGTATAACGAATAAACCTTTTTAATGCTTCTAAAATAGTTCAAACCATCTTTTCATTTATATAAACACATATTTCCTTCTTAAACATTTACCACTGAATTCTCTATTAAATCACCTATTTCTATTTTCATTAATACTTATAATATTTCTTTTATGAAATAAAACCAACGATCGATCTAATTATTACAACTTTCAAAAAACTACATTTTTTTCGTTAATTTCCTTCATTGCACACTTGAATTCACCAATTAGTATGATTTTTTGCCTCAATTTCTGTCAAATTTATGACAGAAAACAAATTCTCTTACATTGTGAGCTTGAGTCAATTTAAAGCTAAGTTATTGTTACAGCCCATCGGATCAAAAATTTTCAGATCCAAATCCGAGTTCAAGAGCAAAATGACAGACTCTAGTGATTGGTATGTCGATAGCTTCTAGTAGTGAATGATATAAAAGAGTTGTTTTACTGTAGTTTTACTATATTTTAGTCACTCATTTATCCATAAATATCATCGCCTTCTTAATAATTGTAATTTAAACTCATCAGTCTATTATGTATGCAAGGAGTTCATGTATTTCATAAATCGATCAAGATTTAAATAAGAAAGAGTATAAATTTAAGAATTAAAACATTTTGTAAAACAAATAAATGATAAAATTATTTGTGAATATTGTGACAATTAAGTCAATTACTTGTTTACTCTGAAGACAAGACTAGTTTGAATATGTATGCATATGTAAATAAACTTCTATCGAAACTAGAAAATCCTAAAAGAATTCTCATTTAAGTCAAACTTACGATTAATATGTGATCCATTGACAACTAAAATTGATTCTCGTATTGTCAACGTACAATAATACCAAACCAATAAAAAATGAAATAATGCATCAAATGCACGATAACGTGATGTTAATGACCAAATGACAAGTGAAGATACTAATGAAATACATGTAACAATAAATTTAAATTTTTCATATTCTTGTTTATATGTCCATTTATCGGCTTTATTTAATATTGATACATCAACACCGCCAAGAATAACCTTTAAATAGGGATCTTTACGTGGTAATGTATCAGCAACACGAGATAAATATAATGAATTTGCCTGAACTTGATCTGATATGAGATTAAGACGTTCAAGAGTAGATAATGTATTAACAATTTTATCTAATGATGGAGAAGAATTAATTGATGTTAATGGACGTGGTGTTGTTGTCAAAGGTATTGACAATGAAGATTTTCTTCTTTCGAGATTTGTAGTTGATTGAGAATTTTTTAAATTCGTTGGACTTGAATTTGAAACGTTCTTTTTTGTTATTTCATCTTAACAAAACAATAATAGTCTTTTCAAACATTTAAGAATTATAAAATAAACAAATATCTTTTTTTTTCTAACGAAAACAAGATTTTTGAATCATTAAAATTTTTTTATGAAAATCACGTAGATTTTCGAAAAAGATAGTGAATGTAAGTTTACATCGAGGTTTTTGCAGCTCTTCTAGGCCCTATCCAACTGAGATTGGGAGGAGAAAAGTCAAAGATCATTAAATACGTTTTCGTAGTAATGGGACAAGGTACATCAGTAATAACAGTGCTTAGACCATTCTGAAACTTCCTATTTAACGCAGTGAAAAGATCTTATATTAGGTATCAATTAGTACAGTAACAACATTGTTGATCTAGCAGAGTAAAAGTAGGGTGAACATAGAAAAGTATCTACTAATAGAATTTTAGATTTAGATAAAACTTAACGGGATTAGACAAATTTCATTGAGAGAAAGAATGATGTAGTCGAAGACTTGATGCATGATTAAATTAATATGTATAATAGGCTAATATAGCAGTTGAACTGACAAACTGAAGAATAAAATGATATTTTTCGCTTTTTACAATGTGTATGGTATATATTATCATTTAGAAAAAAGAACCTATGCTTTGAAGATGTATCTAACAATACAAATGAATTTTCTTAATTTAAAAATGTTAAATGAATCTAATAAATTGTTCTTAATGCAAACCTATTTTGCAATGGCACAATTTCAGAGCGTGCGTATCAGCTATAAAAATTATTACAATTTTGATTCATTCATTAATGTGGCATTTTTTAAAATCCTCTGACATTATACTATAATTTTATAACAGTCAGAGTTTGTGAATTCCAGACTTTGACTTTTTGAAGAAATCGCACTGACAAGCTATTTCGTTATTTATCTTGGGACACATGTCTTCACTATCATTTTATTTAATCTTCTAGAAAGGCATTAAAAACGTAGTTCATATATTAGAATAAAATGTTATTGATATATGGTCTTTGATCGTATGTCAACAATATCTTGCACGGTCTACGACTGAAGAGGGGTACGTTACTAAGACGTATGTCACGATCTATGTACTTCAAACAGTCTTTTCGAATGAAGATTCAAAAAGAAGATCAGCTTTCGATATAGTTCATACTTGAATATAATACTTAATTAAATTTTAATACCTTTTTTAGAGTAAGTCTTTTTCAATTCTTTTATATCTTCTTGTAATTGATCAAGTTTTTTCTTATATTTATCATATTCCATTCGATATTTTGTTTTTAACGATTCAACTTCATCTAATTTTACAACATATTCTTTATGTTTTGGTTCAAATAAACGTAGTTCAGCATCTATTTCTAACCAATCATCATATAATTTACTGAATGATTTATCATCAAATGTTTCAACTTTAGTTGTTGTTGGTGGAGATGGATGGTAATCAGTTGTTGTTGATGGAGATGAATGATCATCAGTTGAACTTGAAGGAGATAAAATCATTGGATGATCTTCATCATCTTCCAACTGTGCAATATCAAAATGTCCTGCTTTTGACTGACGATTTATTTCGTCTTGATTATTAAATATTGTATCACTTGTCATAATTTTCTTTTTAAAAATCTAAATTTAACATCTAAAAAGCCAGAAAGAAAAATAGAATTCAATTATAAATAATATATTTGTTCTAATTTAACTTATTCATTTTTAGGAAGAAAATGAAGGAATTATTCCGAAGAATTTATGAGTAAATTCTATAAAATAACATTAAAGAAAAAAAAATCTTTCTTAAGATTGTTTTCAATTTATAGTGATGATTAATAATGTGTTCTTGTTTTAATAATTTTTCTTTGGAAATGTAATAAAATGAAATAAATAATGAGTTTTAATATGTTTATAAATGAAATTCAACAAAGAAAGTTTTTTTACTCAAGATGTTATTATGAACAGTCATCTAAAAGAAATATTTGTTTGATTTTCATTTTACTCAAATATGAATTACATTGAAAGTATCAAATAGTTTGATTATATCATAAAATATGATTCGAATAAAGATGGAAATGAAGAAAGATAATCGCAATGCATTTATAGAAAGCATAAATAATTGTTCAAGAGCATAGAAATTCTATTGATTAAAGAGTTGAGGATTCTGGCCGATTAAATTTCGGATCTAGTTCATGAATCCAGCTTTACTTTCAAATCCAATTTATATTCAGCTCGAAGTCTGAAATAATGCATAGATCGAAAGTTTTGAAGCTACATGTATGTTTATTTTGAGAATCTTTTCAATGTATTCGATAAATACAAAAACTATCCGTTAGAAACAAAGTTTTGTGTTCTTTCTGAATGTGAGCATAAAGGATTCATCTTATTTTTTTTTCTACAGTCATATAGTAATCTTTGAAAGGCCCAAAAAATTAATTCGAAATGAACATAGAGACTTAAATTTCTAGTGCTAATGTTTGACCATTCTAGTCTGTTTGAAAGTATCTCAGATAAAGCAAAAACTATTGTTGATGATAAGAATTTCGTGCTCTCTTTAAGAAAAGGATTACAAAAATTACGTCTAGTTTTATTTGAGACTAGTGAGAAAATGGAACCAAAAAAGTCTGTAGAGATAACACTTAAACCGCATGCAGTTTTCAGCCCTATATTATGATGTTTTCAGTAGATACTTAACTAACAAGTGTTAAAAATAGCTAACTGAGTAACTTCATATTCTCTGCGGACCTCCATTCTATAGATGTTTTTTTTTTTGTTTGCAAGAGCATGTCACGATGCATCACATGACAGAACTTTTTTTCTAATTCTTTTTGTTTAAGGAAAGAAAAGTTCCATGTCTCCAAAAATAGTGCTCTAATTATAAAGAAAGCTTAATTAAAAAAGCAGGCTCTGTCATGTCCTGCAGCTTTACATGATCTTTCGAGCAGAAAAGAAAAGCTATTGACTAAAATGAAGCTCCTTCAAGAATTCTGGCATATGTTATCAAAAACAGATAGATGCTTTTCTACTTGATTTGAAAAAAAAAACGAGGTGTCAAAGCAAAAATTGATATCATTTATGAGAGATCAGACCTCGGGCTAACATTACTGGATTGTATCATGAAGAAAATATTTCTGTCACAAATTATCTTGACATATGTTTAAAAAAAAAAATTTTTGAAATAATTAAAAAGAAAAATTAAACATAAATTCTTTTTATCATTCCTTCTTTCTTCTTTTCTTTTTTGTTTTTATTCTTATAAGCAATATTTTATAAATAAAATTCTTTGATATTTCCTGATATTAATAACAATAACTCTAATACTCAATCAATTACTGGAATAATTCCACTATATGTCTGTGACTGTTGTGTTTGATAATTACTCCAATTAGCCTAAAATTAATGAAATAAAAATTTAAGTTTTACAAAATTTTTTTTTTTCAAATTTACATTTGTATCTCGTTTTTTTTCACTATTTTGTGCTAATAATTGTGTTCTATTAAATAAATTCTTTGTTTTTTCAATAATTAATTGATATGGTGATAAAGCTTGTGAACCCATAACAACAATGCCTTTTTGTGAATCAATTTTGGCATCTAAACTTGCATTACGTATTAAATTAACAATCCAACGTTCAGCTTCTTCTGTACCCATATTTAATTTTTCTGCTAACATACTAAAAAAAAAAAAAGTTTCATCATTAATTAAATAATTATATTTACAAATAACATTACTCAATTGTAATACAATGATGAATACGACAAAATGTTTCGAATATAAGTAAACGAGCATTTTCCATAAACTCATCAGTACAACCAATAAGAAAAAAATCATTATTAAGTACAGCTGTACAATCACGTAATTTTTGTTGAGCACCATCAAAATCAAAATGAACATAAAGACATTCAAGAAATTCAGTTATTGGATCACGAAATGCATATGATTCCTAAATAGAAAAATAATTATATTTTAACAAAAAACAAAATAATTTTTTTATTTTAATAAATTTAAAAACCTGTTGAATAACTTTGACAAGTTCTTTTAATGTTCTTTCATTTTTTTTTCTTGGATTAATAATAACAGCTGCAGCTAAATAACGTAATAAATGTGGTGATGCTGTTTGTAATGTATTTAAATAAGTATTTGTTTGATTTGTTGTTGATGTTGCTGAACCAAGAAATAATTGAACAAGATCATCACGTCCTTTTGGATGATTAAAATAAACAAATAATGACCAATGTATAAACCATGTACGTTGATGTAATAAATCTAATGGTGAACGAGAATTATTTATTTCAATTGCTTCTTTTAATTGATTTAAATCATCATATGCATCATCCCAACGTTGCATTAAAATTTCCGATGCTAATTTACCCCATAGACATGACATCATATTTTTATCAGTACTTGGTACCTTAAGTATTAATATGAATAATTATATTTCAAATTTTATTAAAAATACTTACAAGAGCACGATAGAGACCTAAATTTGTAGCTGCTCGAGAATAATCACCGCAATCATAAACATAACGAGCAAAAGTATAAAGAGTATCGACCATACTTCGTTCAATCTAAGATAGAAAAATAAAAATTAACAATCAAGTCTTGAGAATAGAGCGGAGTCAGATAGTTGCGCCCTAGGATACTTTGTTGCTCAAGAGATTTTTCAGGAAAGTACAAAAAATTAATAAAATACAGTAATAATGAGAAAGAATACACTACTAGTAATAGAAAGAGTTTAACTGCCAATACACTTTAATTGATTGTTAGCTTCTATATGTAAATTCTCAATCAAACTTTATAGTTGATTATTCGATGACTTGTTTTTTTACTATGGTGGTTGATTGCTTGACTTAGTGTTGATGATATCTGAGGGTAGAGGGTCTGATGAATGGACATTCTCTTCATCCTGATCCACTCTAGAATAATGCTTTGGGAAATCAAATGATCATTTCGAACGATACTCAAATAATTGAGTCTATCGTTCGAATTAATATTATTGCATATCATTCCTTCACAATTTAAACTAGAATCTGTCTTAGTGCATAACCGTTCTAGACGCAAATCGAGATGCACGGGACCAAGTATTTTTACTATCGATTTCGATCGTTGTCCTAGTAGCTAGTTTTCAGAACGTTCCGGCCAAAGTCTTGGTATATTTGTATTAGTAGACTCTACTTTTTTGCCACCTGATTTCTGTTTTTATCATGACTCAGAAGAGATTATTTTCAAATGTATTTCTATCAAATCTAAAAACATCTTAAATAAACGTTTTTTAATGAATGTCACGGTTTTAATCTTCTCGTTCACATTTATTATAATTGGTATGATTTACCAGATCATTCGCTCAAAATAAAAGAACATTTAACTATAACTTGTAAGTGTCGATAAATCTTCATGTTTCGATCTCACACATTTCTAATAGTGATATAACAGATATTTCATTAGATAGTAATCCTTTTTCCTATTTTGAACTGAAGTTCTTTACTAAATATATCCTTTCGCTACTCACACCAAATATCAGTTAGATCGTGTTATTTTCAATGTTTCGAATAAATATGGAGATGCTTTAAAACGATATTATTATCTTGAGACATCCAGTTATGAAAAAAACTTCACAAAATATTTGTAAAATCAACTGTGGAATACTATAAGCTCGGTCACCTATTCATGATAGTCAAAGAGTGATATTATTTGTCATCTTTATAGATACTAGCAATGTCTAAATTAAGGGTTTAAACTTACGAGGGAACATATTTAACTGTTGGATGTCATTTGACTTCGTATCAAGATGATGAATAGGTCTCGGTAAGATTGAAAATATTTTAAAAAAAGTTTAATTTCATGACTTACTATTGAATGAAACTTTTACTTATAATAAGACATTTTCGAAGAATCCAAAAGAAAGAGCTATGAGCTGAAATTATGTCTGTAGGTCGGTTTGATGATTTTGGAAGTTTTAATAAAAATAAACATGTCTTTCTCAAGATATTCAATTTCCAAGTAGATTCGATTACTATAATCTCCTATGGTGGTAAATGGCTGTAATTTTCGATATTGAATATCTCGAGAAAGACAAGTTTGTTCTTGTTGAAATTTTCGGGACTATCGAACGTACTTAGAGACATAATTTTGAATGAAAAGTCATTGTTTTGGATTATTCAAAAATGCGTTGATCTAAGTAAAAAGTTTCATTAGAATAGTCATAACTCTATAATAGTAAAGTATGGGTCGAATCTTTTCAAGATTTTCTTAGTCTTATCAAGAACTACTTGCTGTCATAATGTGAAGTCGAACGGCGTTCGACAGTTGAATATATATCTGACTTCTAAAGATGGACCTATTTTTTTTGTTAAAGAATTATTAGCTTGTGTTGAATCAATATTTTTATCAATGTCTATGATTTAGTAAGAACATTGAGCACGTGTAAGGATTCCTATGTTACTATTCTTCATGCGAGAAAAATTAATTTACTTTTGCTTGATTGATTTGATAGATTTCTTATTATTTATGCTTTGATCAATCAAATAATCCAAGTATAATAGGAATAGTAATGTAAACATGACGAAATGTATTATTGCAAGAACTCTATCAATCTATTTTTAGAGGACGCTGTGGATTTA